AAGAATATTACAGAGGGAGAACCTGTCCGTTCAAGTCTCGCAAAGATGGTAATTTATCAATGAACCACCTTAACAGATATATAATGTCCAGCATTATTTGCCTCGTTTCTGACTTCCATCTGTCGAGTGATGCAGTTGTTCTGATTGTTGTTCGCAAATAATGTGACTCTGTGACAGAACTTTTACATTTATTTTTTTTCTTCTTATTTAAAGTTGATCCTTATACCAGAGACCAGAGACGTATAAAGCCAATATGTATACGTCTCTGCTTATACATTTCCCCATTATATCGCCTAAGGACATTGTTGTTAATTGACAATTGGAAGACACATAATCTACACAAAATGCAATTTTCATAATAACTTCAGTTACCCCTTTGCCCACCTGCTGACATCCCTTTGATGCCATTATATGTTTGTCTTGCGCCTCCTGCTGTCAGCACTGGACACAGGCGTTTGGTGTTATTTACCTGTACACAAATTTCACGCATAGGTATATGCTAAGGGAGTGGATCGAGATGATTTTCATTATTTAACCAAGGTGTTAAATTATAACTTGTGTATGATACATGTATAGGGAGAAACAAAAATGTTTGAATCTCATAACTCAATTATATTTTCGAGATAAACGCAATCACGAAATTAGATGATATTACTGTCATTGCTCAGTGATATTATTTAGCATCGCATACATAGGTACTGTATTGTAGACAATTAAATGTGTAGCGGTCGGTATTTTGCTGTTTATTTGAATTATCGACCTAAGGAATTAAGACACAATGTCGTCGATTTACATTACTATATATTATAAGAATATTGACACTTAAAAACAGCAGACACCAACGTTTCAGTTATTTTGAAAACATTTTTCATTGATATATTTCCGCATTTTTGGACAGTAGAGGTACCACAGTATATAACTTTGCAAGATAAATATTCCGGCACAGAAACTGGTCACAAAGTAGTGCTGTCCAATGACGATATGATTGGATAAGTTCTCACTGTAGAGCAGAGACATATGCGTCTCTGTGTAGAGTAAAGAAACTTATTGCAAACTGTCTTTCCAGCTAAAATTAAGAAATATCTTTGATCGACAACATTCAGACTATTTTTGTTTAATATCCCTCAAACTCGTTCATTCGAGAAAAAAGTCTCATCAGTGCTCAGAACCAGGACGTGCAATCGCTACCAGTCTATGTTACCCTATTCAGAGTCGTCAGTGTGGTTTCAATTGAACTCACTGTCTGGAAATTCTTGAAAATTTTATATCACTGGATACCATCTTCATAATGTTATCTTCAGCAAAATCTGATTCCTCAAAACTAAGAAAAAATATGAATTCGCAATCTGATGCTGTGTGACCATGGCTGTTATCGATATCTTAAGCTACCGACATTTTCTAACACAAATTCTGATGATAAGAAAACGACCATGCCTTCCATTAATATTAACGGTTGCCTTGACACGTCATGTGAGAAAATCATGCCGATTCAATGAAAATATTATTCAGAAGGAAGCCGTGTGTTTTTAATCATTTAAGCAATGGTTTCCCTATTCTCTATTGCACTACAAGTTGCTTTCCCCTTGTCTACGTTGAAAAGTGTGAAAATCGGAGCATGCCGTCCCGACAGCATGGTGCCGGAAATCGATCCAAGTAAACGTTAATGTCGTAAACAACTGACGACGACTGCTTTATTTACAATATTTGATTATTGTTAAAAAAAGAAATATTTTGTGTTTTTAGTTGTAATTGTTTCTATGCAATTTGATTTCACCGCACGACATGCCATGTGATTGTCACATGATCGTAATTTACATAGATGGGCAAAAATGTAACGCAACTTCTCTGTGCAAAATAGATAAATCATGACTATTTATATCACTTCTTTCATCTTATTGACTGTTGCATTATGATATCGCTAGCTAGGATGGAGTATAACGATAGTTCTTAGTTCTTGCTCGAAATTATTTAAAAGTGAAAGTAGAACTTACATACTGATCATTACAAAATAAAATGTTTTTTCAACAAGCTGATATTAATGACAATTAACAAATAATTTCAAGTATTACTTCATCAATTTGTATTAATATCTCGTCAGGTTTCCACATTAATCTATGTCTGATGATTATTGGGCATCTCACTTCCGGTTCAGGCAACCTAAAACAGTTTAATCGTTTTTATTAATGTATCGTTTTATTATATTATTTTTCTCTGGCAAATAGAATATCATAATAAGCGGGTTCCACTGTGCTGTTATTATTTATTTCTGACATAATTTCGGACTCCTGTGGTGCAATGCAGGACATTGCACTTGCCAAATACATTTCAAATGTTGCATGTGGTCAGGTAACAATATTTTTTTAACAAAGGAAATATTTTGGGGAAAAGTTTATTGAATTGTCGGGTGCTTGAAATCCCTGAGCACTCATCCTATCGATGGTCGATTGACACTCATATTACGGTACTATGCCGACTGACTCATCGAGTATCTTGACTTTTGAACTGAATGCGTTTGTAAAGATTGCGTGGCAAGGTACGTACTCTGAATCAGTAAATACTGTGTTAATTTGTTCTGACATAATCAGTGTGCAATATACTTTAGTAAATGAAACTCCAGAATGATATTATGTATCAGCCCCAAGCTTGTATAAAGCCAATATATAGTCCACGTCTCTGACGCACTGTCACCTTGATGTTGAAGTCAATATATTATGTTTTGGGTTCATTGCGAGCGTATCAAGCTTATCTGATTTTGATATTTTCATTTCTTGAGTAATGATTCTGTGACTGTTTGCACTGCCCGTGCAATATCTGTCCCCTCCCCTCTAACATGTTTATAAACTAGGTGTTGGAACTGTTGACACTTCCCCAGCATCAATTGAATTGGTCAGAGAACCATGATAGAGACGTTTGTACATGTAAGGTCAGTGGTCCGTAGTAGTAACAGGGTATAAGTGTTAAATTCAAAGTTTTTAATCCGAGAATCTTTTTCTTGTATGATGGATAAACAGGTAGGTTAAAAAAATAGTAATATATTCACTCTGGCATTTTACTTTAAAATATAGTTCTACAGTGTGATTATGCAGGAGAGTTAAGAGATAGTTTATGGTGTGATATTACAAATATAAAAGACATAATGTTTAGTGTGTAATTACATTCCATGCTTTATTATGATCTGATTCATATCCCCATTGGAGGAAATGTAGAGCATGAGTTGAATTCATCGGAGTTAGATGACTTTCGCATAAAATCAGTAACTTGTATATTCAGAATGTGCAAACTTAACTACAAATGATATCTTAACCTAAACTTTATTATGTGTCAATTGTAACAATTTTCCGTTTTCTGTATTTCGTATGATGGTCATCTCTCTTAAGTAACTTAGATAAGTTAAGGAGCGTAGAGGCGCAAAGGGGAGTTAACTCCGGCGTAACCCTTACTTTACAATACAGTTTATCTTTTGAATTTCCGTTTGTATATTGTCATATAACATGCACGTAACTTTGTCAATCTTCAATGAATGCATATATGTATTGTTCTGTTTGTGAATCTTCGATTCGTAGGAAATAAAGAGAATAATAATGGTTCAGATTACATGCGTAGCAAAATAAACTGGAACAGTAACAACTGTCCGAAAAATATCTGGATCCGCCCCTGGTCAGTTCTAAAGAAAATATAATAAAAACTGTTGACCATGGATAAAGCATGACTTACAAAAAATGACTGTTAAATATTATATAAATTAATAACCTTTGTAACAAATAAAACAACCAAAACTTAAATGATGTATTCTTTCTTGTATTTCAGGTAGCAAAGGGAGATTTGGAAGATGTGAATAAATCCAAAGAGGCTGCAATTATCAAAAACAACTGGATTGAAACTGAAGATATTATTATCTACAATAAAGATTTAACATGTGATCATTTAATGGACTGCATGGTATACATGATGTGCAGTTGTGGCCCAATATGGATTCAAAAGTGTCCATCAAAGCCATTTTATCACATGTCAATTCTTTTTTAGATACACTGGGAATACATTATCCCCCATTAGCAGTACTTGTTGTTGGTCCTCCGAGGGAAAATACATTTCAGACTACATGTATTGCCAACACAGACATTAGATAAGACTGACTGTATTATGTTCGTTTTTCCGAAAATGTTATATATGCATATAACTATGGAAATATTGCAACATCAAGAAAGCATGTGTCTGGAGGCTTTCAGTACTTTGATTGTTATGTGGAACTGAAATTAATATGCCATTAGACTCTGTATTTCGGATAATTTGTAAAAAATGGTTATTTTCACGATTGACTGCGGCATACAAGTTTTACCCCTTGAACATTATCGCCGATTTCTGAATTATCAGATGATTAAAAAAACATTTTTGTAACTCTCACATTTAGAAAGAAATGTTTGAAGTTATTGTATAGTTTAACAGAGACGTATAATACAGAGATTGGCAACTCACGTGAAACCGAGGGGTATTTGGGGGTAAATCACGCGAGTTTGAAAGTGTTGTAAAAACCTCATTTGAAAAAGCTGGCTAGAAATATTATGTTTTGAATAAATATCTGAAGATGTTTTTGAAATTAAATAATGAATTAGAAAGGAGTTCGTGTTTTAATGTGCTAAGAAAGAAAAAAATCCTCACACGTCAAAGCCGCCATTTTAACCTGTACTTTCAGAGCTAAATTATGAAACTTTGCAAGTTTTGTAACAACCTCAATTTAATTTCCTGGTTAGAAATATTATCAAATAATCTAATTAATTTCTGAAAACTTTTTTGAAATTGTCCAAAGAAAAAAAAACGGAGTTCGTGTTTTAATTTGTCATGATAGAAATAACCCTCACACATCAAAGCCGCCATTTGAACTTGTTTATTCTGAAAAACCTGTATTTTATGTATTTAATTCGCTTGGAATAACCGTATACATTTCATTTCGGTCCCGTTTCGACGATTCTTTGCACCGCCACCGGGGTTATGCCCCTTAACGGTTTATTTATTTCCGGTTTTAAGTCACAGGTTTTTGACGCATCAGACGGATTGTTTCTGTCCTTTACATGTGTATGTGCTTCATATGCAGGCCACACACACGATTTCTGTTCTCTTTTGTTTTTTTGTTATAATTTGTTTCTGTGTAGCCGAGAATATGATGGTCGGAGGCCAAAGCGAGGTTAAAAGCGCTGATGAGGAAACTCAAAACATCGCCGATCAGGTAAGCTTATGATAGGCCTAATGATATGCGGGACGTTGAACTCGTGATGTGTTCCCGAGTCAGTATTAAGTTAATAGCCCCACATTCCAATATTCAGATTAGAAGCTACACAAATGTAGAGCTTTTATTACAAGTAGACTTAACGTTAGTGCAGGCAATTTGCAATTCGTCACATTAGTAAGGGTTTCAGTAACAATTTGTCAAAATACACATGTATCAAAATACCGACGAGCACCACTGGAGAAGACGATTTGGCTGAAATGTCTATAAACATTATTGTAAACAAACCTGAATGACGTCACACAGCAACATTTGTGACGTCATCACAATCACCCAGAAAAATGCCCTTTTGATTTTGATCGTGCATTCGATCAATGCTGTCTCTTTTACACCATTCTTAAACTCACCAGCAGCTAGTTGATACATTTTATCGATAGATACGTATACACTAATAAACTAATGAAGTGGACAACTGCATTAGGCATTATTAGTTGCGTTTTATTAATGTATTTTGACTTGAATCCTATTAATATGTAAAATGTAATAACTGCTGCAATGGCGCCGCGATTAGACACTCATATACTCAGCTTGATTTAAATTATTATATAAAGTCCTATGAAATAGACCAAACAAAAGGCTATACAGTTGTGGGATCTCACAACGTTAGTCGTTATATGTGCACATGGTGTGTACCTGATGAAAAACTGTGATTGTATAGCTTGGTAGATATATTTAAGCTTATATCTTTCCTCATTTAAGTATGTTGCCATGTTTTAGCCAGACTTTTTTTCATTCCGTAACATTGATCGACTGCTCTCTCATATCACACATATAAATGTGTGTGTTTTATCGCACAACAGAACAATCATTTGTTTAATTGGACAGTTGTGCGAACTATGTGCGCACAATGTGTGGACAGTATGCACACGATGTATGCACAATATTGATGTGCTGAATACACTGTTACTTTGGTGCATTGTGCAATCCCAAACTGTAGCATAGATGTGCCACCATGAACACTACTATGATATATAGACTTCACTGGATGTGGCGTCTGCATCTTGACTGAAATATTTGAATTTCATGTATTTATTTTTGTTAGGAAAGATGAAAGATGGCATTTGAAGGTACAGTTTGAATTCTGAATTAATTATTGTAATTTGTGTAAGATTGTTAGTATATGAAATGTTTTATTTGTTTTTTAGATTAGAGGAGAGGTCCAGACAAAAATTGGGAAGGTTTTTCCCCAGTTTAAAGTGGTTCAGTACAAAACTCAGATGGTAGCCGGAGTCAACTACTTTATGAAGGTTGGTGGTTTATATATCCCACATAAGTTATATAAAACAGAACACATTTTAATAAGCGCATGAAAAAACAGCTTGATGTATCAGTGATTACTTAACTTTACAATGCTTTGAAAGGTTTGTGTAAAAGGTGAATAGTTTTTGACTGAACCATGTAGTTTTACAAAACAACACGATGTAGGTATAAGCAAAACAGACAAAAAACAAATGCCATACATATACATTCTCAAAAATAAGCTGTGGCTGTTTTTGAGTTTTATTATGGAATCTCATGAATTTCAAAGCAGTTTTGACTGTGATATTTGTACAACTTATTTTTAAGGTTGTTTATATTTTCAAAGTGATTGTCGATTGCAAGGTCCTCCATCTTTGAAATAATATACTCTTAGTGGTGGGAAAATGTTAAGTTTGCTTGTACTTGTAAATAAGCAATATAAAGCACAACATTATTGATTCAAAGACTGGATATTGAATTTGAACTATAGCCACCAGAATGTTGACACAAATTGTTAGTTGTTACGTATACCTCTTTGACAATGACATTAACCAAAGTCATTGTGGAACCCTTTTCACTGCGATCATAATAACAGTCCTAGCAGCTGTCTAATTATACATTTTTTTTATATGTTTACAAGTGATTACATCACTACACATTACTTTGAAACCTTGTGTAAGAGGTGAACATTTCCTGTATACATTGGATTGTTGTGTGCTATTATGTACACATGTTTAGTCTGAGGTAAACAGGTACTTCAAAGAAAACAAAACACAGTATGCATATTTATACCAGTCATTTTCATTTTTTGAAACACTGTCAACAAACAAAAAGGACTTACCTCATTCAAATGAATAGCAAATTATATATTTAGTTGAGTTATGACTTGAAATACATGTTGGAAACTCATTTTCTTGGTGTTTTACCCACCAAAACAGATTTACATGTAGTTCTTCTTTCTTGTACTCCTTTGATAAACCTGTATGGAACTTAACAGGTTTTGAATTGAAAATAAAATACCCGGTGGGCTATTAAGGCCCCTCAGGGCCTCATGTTGTGCTTGTAAATACGCAATAACTCAAGCCAAAACACTTTTCTCACTAAAAGCACTGAGAAGGCGACACATCCACTCCTGTGGAATTCTTGTACATAGCTGGCCTATTTTAAAATCAGGATTTGTTATCAAGATTTTAGATCTAAAACCTTCTTGTAAATTGTGGATCAGACTACATTTCCTTTTGTCATAATAACTGTAAAAATCTTTTCTGGAAAGATATCTTTCTTACATGGAAAAATCTTACTGTTCTTGATGAAAAATATACAGATACAAAACAGATCTAGATCTCTGACATGCCTATATGGTTTAACGAAAAAATCCAAATAGATAATAATAGTGTTTCATATAAAAATTGGTATAGGAAGGGAGTAATGTAGTAGTAAGGGCCCCGTATCGGAGATACAGGTGCCCTATAGTAATCACTCTGTCTGTCTGTCTTTCTGTCTGTCTCCCCATCCACAAATTTTGTTCTTGGCTGATACCTTTGGTATTTATTTACCGATGTACATGAAACTTGGTCAAGATGTTCAGTCCACAAAAATACACATTGTGATAAAAAGTCAAAGGTCAAGGTAATCAGGTTCAAAGGTCAAGGACAAATTTTACATCTTTTCACTGATAAACATTTTTTTATGACTTTATGAAGCAAAGTTGATCATAATTGAACAAGGTGTCAACTGACGAAAGGTCAATATAATCGGGTCAGGGGTCAAGGTCAAATTTTGCATCTTTTCACTGATGAATATTTTGTTATGAGATGATGAAGCAATGCTGATCAGAATAAAACAAGGAGTCAACTGACCAAAGGTCAGGGTCATTGGGTCAAAGGTCAAGTTTTTTAAAAACTTTTTTTCACTGGTGAACATTTCACTGTGATACTTTGAAGCAATGCTGCTCAGAATTAAACAAGGAGTCAATTGACCAATGGTCAAGGTCACCAAAGGTGAAGGTTAAATTTTGTACCTTTTCCCTGATGAACATTTTGTTAGGACATTATGAAGCAATGTTGTTCAGAACTTAACACAGAGTCAACTGACCTAAGGTCCAGGTTACGGGGTCCAAAGGGTCAAGGTCAATTTTTGTATTTTTCACTGATAAACATTTTGTTATGATATTAAGAAGCAAAGTTGGTCGGAATTAAAGAATAAGTCAACTGACCAAAGATCAGGATCACTGGGTTAATGATCGAGGTCATTTGGGTCCAAAGGTCAATGACAAAGTGGATCTCTGACTTTGACCCTGGCTCCTGATGGAGGAGGTATATAAGGTGAAATAAAACAAATCAAAGCTAACAAATGAGTATTGTGCCGGTATTTACATTTCTGTTAGCCCAGCAAATATGGAGGTGGAAGGAAACAAGACTCACATCATAGTACATGTAAAATGTATATTTTGCTTCCTTGCGATTCTTTTTGAAGTGTCAAGCTCAGCTATATGGGCAGATTGCTTCTTGATGATTATGGGGGTTATATTGCCACAAGACAGGGCCCTTACTGACCTGTCAGTGTTCTAGTTAATGACTTAAAAAAGGATAACAACAACTTCTTCAGTTTTTTTGAATTAAGAGAAATATATGGTGTTAGAGCAAATTTCTTAAAATATCATGGAATTGTTACAGCTATAAATTAAAGGAGCTTTGCAGTCGGTGGAGCTTGACCCATCCAAAAATAGACTATCCTTTTATTCCAAGAAAATTACAAATATTTGTTAAAAAACAGAAAGGTACAAAAGATTTTTATAATGTGCTTAGTAAAAAAATAAAATAATAAGAAATCTTTTCTTTTTTGGTACATATCGTCCGAATGGAATAAACAGAAAAGTGGATAATATGATCATCTTTACAATAAAACTATATACCTATAGATCAAGGTGCCCCAAGAATGAACTCTGCATTATTGCCCTGAAAATTACACTAAAAGATACATATACAACTCAAAAATACATTGCTAGAAGTAAGGGAGAAAGCTACTAAGACCAGTTTCAAAGAGAATGGGCCAAATGGCAAAACTTTTTTTTGAAACACCCAAACTTGAAATTACGACTGATTTACCATAAGTAACTTATCAATTTATTCATATAACTGTTGAATTGAGTAAATGTAAATATTGATTACGCTTACACTGACAGCTAGCTTACAGAGAAATTCAAAATGTAATACAAATTTTCAACAATCCTGCCCTTCCTTTCTGATAATTGTATTGGTATTTGCAATTGTATGATAATGAATGAGTGTGACGTGTGTCTTTATGTATGTTTGTTTTATTTCATGTTTTGTATATATTGTAACTGTACTGTATACTAATGTAAAAATTTGAAAAAAAAAAAAGATTTTAGATCTAGAGTATATTTGTTCCAGAGATAGTTATTAGTTTGTTTTTGATTGTCTGTTCACGTATCCTTCCACCCAATTTTTGTTTTCATGTAATAAGTTTCAAACGTGTTAAAAGTTAAGTCCATGGTTATAACTCATTAGCATTTTCCTTTTTGATTGATCAAAAGTTTTTGTGCAATAATGTTTTGATTATGATGAAGCTTAAAGCTTGGATAACATTGATACTGTACAAGGACAAAAGATAATTTATTGGAGGAAAGTTTGCCTGTAATTGAGTAGCACACAGCAATGCCTTTTTCTAATCGGGTATAACAAGTGGATCTCTTCAATAAGAAGGGGGGTAACTCTCATATATACTTGTCTCGCCGTGACGGAGGAGCGAAAGTGAGACTAAGGTGTTGCTTTTCCGGCGACGACAGGGTCTAACATTGCGTTTAGCTCAACGTTAAGTTTTCGTTATATGCTTCTTAATCAGTTAATAATGGCATTGTGTTGTTGAAGTTTTGCATGAAGGTTCTTTTGGAGTCTACCTTTCATATACTATGAAGTCAAAGTGTTTTTTTTTTTTCTTTTTTTTTCTTTTTTTTTTTACATATTTTGGACCAAAAATAAAGAATTTTGGGTGATTTTGAGAATTGGACATAACTTCTTTAAAAATTGTCAGATTTGCTTCCAATTTCATACACACTTTCAGTATACACAGTACTTTAATATAATACGGGTATTTGCTGAGATGACCACAACATTTGTTTTGGCAGAAAACAGAATATTTGGTGAATTTAAGAATTGAACATAACTTCTTTAATAATTGTCAGATTTACTTCCAATTTTATACAAACCTTCAGTATACACAGTACTTCAATATGTAATACAGGTTTCTTGCTCAAATGACCATATCAATTTTTGGGGGAATTTTTGTGTTTTTGGCCAGCTAATGTTAAATTTTTGTTTTTAGCTCAGTAGGTAATGCGGTGTACAACTCATTGCAGGTCAGAAACAGAGATTTGAAATGCTTAGCTCCATTCTTGGGTAGAAAACTTAGAATTTTGGTTAATTTTTAGAATTGGTCAATTGGACATGCAATGTAATTTATTTAGTAATGGTCAGATTTAGTTTGATTTTTATACACACCTCAAGTATTTACAGTAATGAAACATGTTTTCTTTCAGAAACATTACATTGCATATATTTACCAGTGCATAATAGCTACACCCATGAATGCCCCATGAATGCATCTATCACAGTTTTCATGTATGCATGTGAAAAAAAGCGGAATATATGTACCGGTACCACTTTATTTTTTTTCCAGAAAATGCTGTCTTACTCATCAAGTCCAGTGGTAAAACCTATATTCGCAGCTTACCGCATTGTTATAAAGATTCTCCTCTCTGATGGAATATATTTTAAAATGCTATAAGAATAAACTGTGTGTGAAAATACAAAGCGCCCGTAACGGCGAGACATATAATTTTGCGTAATTCTTGTCTTATACTGAGATATAAGATCAGAAAAATTGAATAAACCTACTAATAATCCTCCTCTCAACAACATTAAATTTTTGCGTACAATGTATAACATTGTTTCACTTAAAGTATAAGTAGACCAACCAAACTCTGACCATAGATACATCTCCACCCACGCATCAAATGGTGGATGCGGCTTACCTTTCATGGTGCATTGACTTTGTCAGCATCTCCATCAACATTAAGTTTTTGTGTTTAAGTTAGTTTCTCTAATATGTGCATTGATAGTCAAAGCGGGGCACAGGCGAGACAATCAATTTGAATGGCTTGTTGAGGAATATAAAGTATTTAGAAACAGAGTTTGTCCATCAGTTTTTGCACATTGAGAACATATTTCAGAGTTAAAGTATAAGTGCTCCATGAATACCTGTGTATATGATGCAGGTAAGGCAAAACACAAAAAAGTGCTTCATGAATAAAAATGGCACCAATGTTGCAGCAAGGGTGGGAATATGCTGAATTTGACCTACATTTTTCATTTCAGTGACTGTAACTTTAAAAATCTTTCTTTCAATATTAACCTGTAAGTGCTATGTGGATAACACTTGCATCAATAATGCTGCTAGGGTTGCATTATTCAGTGCATGTTTACTGACGGAGCATCGGATTGATGGACACATAGTTTCAGTGACCAGTGCATGTTTACTGATGGAGCATCGGATTGATGGACACATAGTTTCAGTGACTTGGTTGAGAAGAAATGGTCAAATCTACATATACTGTTAAAAAAAGTTAATATCTTGGTTAGAATAATTGCTACACAAATTATATTTATTAAAATAAATATTCAAAATTTAACTTCTGGTATAATACTTATTCCTGATTGAATGATTGCTTTATATATTTAGTTTGAACAATTCCTAAAGGAGTAAAGCAATATGAATACTCTATACCTGGACCATTCATTATTTTATATTATATATACTTCATAGTAACTTTGGTATCCATGTAATCATGGTTTGTGTACAACAGGGATATCAATGACAGCTACATGTATAAGCATATTATTGTTAAATATTTCTATTGAAATTTCAATTGGAACTCAAATCAATGAACCTTTAATTAAAATAATCTATTGCAAATATGAATACGAAAAATGAAAATATTTTTGGCAAGGAAAAAGTGCTTATTGGCCATTTTTTTTTATCCTTTTAACTAGAATTACAAATGGAAGGTAGCTCTTGCATCAGCATGAACAAAGCTTAGGCAGTGAACTACCTCCAAAAGGTGTTCAACTCCCAATGCAAACAATTTAAAAACTAAAAGGTGAAGTCACCCAGCCTGATAGCCAATTCTACAATGTCTATTACCTGTTGAGATTGATCACAGTTTGACCCTGACAGTCAAATTGCTAGCACAGCTTGATTTTAACACTTTTAATCGCTCATACCATCACACATTTTTTTTTGTCATGTAACATTTGTGAAGTGATGGTTTTTATATCCATACTGGCTTATAATATTAATTTATGTTGTATTTTGACAGATTTATTTTTATCATTTTGACAGATTGCCGTGGAAGACGACAAGTACATCCATATCAGAGTGTTCAAGCCATTACCTCACACAGGAGAGGAACCATCTCTTATTAGTTTTCAAGAAGAGAAGACACAGGATGACCCCATCAGCTACTTCTGATAAACTGAAATAAGACACTGTTAACCTGGAATTATCCTGGGTCCAAATTATATATTTCCAGGAACATGCAATTTTTTCTAAAAATATAAAATTACAAAAAAGTGTTCATGATCTAATATGGTTGTTATGTGAAATTTGATACTAGCTCTTTTGACTTTAAAAAAAAAAAAGTTTTAGCATATTTTCAACACTAGTGTCTTATTAATTGCCATGTAGCTGTACATAATATTTTTTAGTAAGGGAGGCAGGGTTACTGAACGACAACAACTTGATTGTATTACAGTTTAAAAGTAACACCATCCACCACACATGCAAAAGTAGATATGTGTGTATACATAGTTATGTTTCCTCCATAAACTTCAGGAAACTAATCTCACAAGCAAGCTTTCAAGTTCAACATTCCATACTGTGCAATAATAATGTAGGAGCAATAATACCGCACGTACAACATGTTTTGTTATGGCTGACATGGTTTTGTCCAACTTTGTTGTTCCACTCAGAATTTCTGGGAGCAAGCTGATCACTTATATGGGATGCACATGTTTTAATTTACCAGATTACAACACATATACAGTAATAAATTTGAACTATTAAAGCAATAATAGCATGTCTATGGGACCTTCTTAGATAATATGTTTGTCTACACACAAGTTAAATTCATGTCACTTTGCCATACAATAGAAAGATAAATAACCACAGTGATGGTGGTGGTACCCCGGTGTTGGTCGGGTTTTGAGGGAACACTGTTATTGCAATAGATTCAGATAGAAAGTCCCAGTGCTCTACTACAATGAAAAATTCCAATTTGTGCTGCTTTTTTATGCCTTGAATTTGCTTACTTATATACTATAGCAAAACTATATATGAAAGAAATATATTCATTGTTATTTACTTAAAAAAATCCTCTGTGAACCTGTTGATCATACATTGTAGAGCTTATTTACTGCATTTTTGGTCATGATATTTGTTATATTAATAATTTTTTGCAATATCACTTCAGAATGATTTGAAAATATTGTAACTGTCCGGAGAGGCCTGCAACCAACAAATATACAATTGTCTTTGAACGAATTTAGATGAAATGATAAATATTTAAGATAAAAGTAACTCTCAAGGCTTGTATATTGTATGAGAAGGTATGGGACTTTCCACCACAGAAGAAGCTGCAGTAATTCATATGTGAATCCAATGACCTATCTATAAACACTATATTTAAGGTGCTAGAGTACTAAATTATAGTGATTTTGCATAATGTCACAGATGAAATAGTTACTGATTTTACCAAGTAAAAAAGGAGTGTCAATGAAAATGAGTACCTGTTTTCCCATACGTGTATTATACAGTGGCTATATACTGGTTGATGCGAGTACTGTGTCTATCTTAACAGTCCTTTGCAGTTATGAGAATTTTTGAGGTGTCTAAATGAGCTGTGATTAAAATAGATTCTTGGGGGTGGGGGGNGGTTTGTATTTTGGTTGTAGTTCATAGGTTTATATTGAAATATTCTTGGGTAATTTCTGAGAGGATGATAAAATGACCAATTATACATGTATATAACATATATATTTTCTCTGTTATAAATCTAAAAGTTGAAAATAAATATGTTTTCAAAAGCAGTAGTTTTTGTTTTGCCACGTTCAATTTGATGAAGTGTTAAAATAGTGTGAGCTCACCTGAACTTCATTTGTCTGTCATTGTCTCTTTTCATCTGTTAACATTTTCATTCAATGACACCTTCAAAACAACATGTATATTCCAACCTAATGTCAGTATTAGCATCCTTTGCCCATATGGATCAAGACTGTACAAATAAAATGACTGACTATCCAATATTATTAGCTAAGGGTGGAATTAAAATGATTGATTTGCTTTAAACGACACCTTTTTCACAAGTGACAGAGCAGATTTCAACCAGATTGTCTTAATACATCTTTAGCTTATTGTGATCGAAGGGTGTGCAAATATAGAAGTTCTTCCTACTAAGGGGTTGGATGAGCGGATGCAAAAGGGGTCAAATTGCCTGACGACATTTCTTCCTCAACGTACTGAACAGAATTCGACCAAATTGTTGCTGTATTATCCTTCGCCCATGTAGGTAAATTGAACAAAATCAGTAGCTGATTCGGTAATTTTAATTATATTGAAGACAATGTAAAATGTGTTCGCGTGGCTGAGAGGTTTGGGATGGGTAAATGATACTTGGTTTTATTGAAGAATGGGGAAGAGAATTTTTTGGTGGTTAAATGTGACTTTGTTAGCTCACCTGGTCCAAAGGACCAAGGTGAGCTTATGCCAAACCGTGGCGTCCGTCGTCCGTCCGCCCGTCGTCCGTCCGTCAACAATTTCTTTTAACGACTTCTTCTTCTTAACCACTGATTGGAATTTAACTAAATTTGACTGGAAGCATCCCTAGGTGGTGGGGATTCAAAATTGCACAAATGGTGGGGCTGACCCCCCAGGGGGCTGAGGGTCGGGGCCAAAAGGGGGCACTTTGGCTAAACTGCTTTAAGCGACTTCTTCTTCTTAACCACTGATTGGAATTTAACTAAATTTGACTGGAAGCATCCCTAGGTGGTGGGGATTCAAAATTGTACAAATGGTGGGGCTGGCCTCCCAGGGGGCTGAGGGGCGGGGCCAAAAAGGGTTATTTGGCTATATTGCTTTAAGCGACTTCTTCTCTGGAACCAAGTGATGGATATCAACCATATTAGACTGGAAGCATCCCTAGGTGGTGGGGATTCAAAATTGCACAAATGGTGGGGCTGACCCCCCAGGCTAAGGGGTGGGGCCAAAAAAAGTGTATTGCCTGGAAATGGTTGAGATCCCCACCATATAACCACATATACAATTGCTGAGTATAAAGAGATGAATGCACATATGCTTCCAGGATGGCCTTGGGGACTGCTCCACCCTTGGAGACTTAACCCCTGGGTCATAACTTCGAAATGGTTAAGATCCCCACCCCAAAACTATATATACAAATGCTGGGTAAAAAGAGACAAATGCAGTCATGATATTTGAATTGATCCTGGGGTCTGGCCACAACCGTAGGGACCTAGGTTCTGAGTCACAACTTGGAAACAGTTGAGAGCCCCACCCCATAACCATACACAAATTGCTGGGCATGAAAAATTGAATACAGATATATATGCTACAAGGATTGGCCTTAGGGTCTGGCATATTCCCTTGGATCTCATTTGGAGAATATTTTGCCATGATTGCTTAGATATCCAGGTGAGCGATACAGGCCCTATCGGCTTCTTGTTTAATTGAAGGCTTGGTTAAATGTGACTTTGGCTAATTGAAGGCTGGGGGAGGGAGTTCGAGGTTTGGTGTGTTTATTTGTGATTGTTTAAGTGAGGGCTGGGGTAGGGAATTCGAGGTTTGGGGTGGTAAAATGTTACTTTGTCTAATGGAAGGCTCTGTTAGGGAGTTCGAGGTTTCGGGTGGTTACATGTGACTGTTTAATTAAAGGCTGGCTTAGATATCCAGGTGAGCGATACAGGCCCTATGGGCTTCTTGTTTAATTGAAGGCTGGGGTGATACTTGGTTTTATTGAAGAATGGGGAAGAGAATTTTTTGGTGGTTAAATGTGACTTTATCTAATTGAAGGCTGGGGGAGGGAGTTCGAGGTTTGGGGTTGTTAATACATAAATTGCTGGGCATGAAAAATTGAATACAGATGTATATGCTACAAGGATTGGCCTTGGGGTCTGGCATATTCCCATGGATCTCATTTGGAGAATATTCTGCCATGATTGCTTAGATATCCAGGTGAGCGATACAGGCCCTATGGGCTTCTTGTTTAATTGAAGGCTGGGGTAGGGAATTCGAGGTTTGGGGTGGTTCAATGTGACTTTGTTTAATTGAAGGCTGGGGTTGTTTAATTGAAGGCTGGGGTAGGGAGTTCGAGGTTTGTGGTGGTTACATGTGACTGTTTAATTGAAGGCTGGGGGAGGGAATTCGAGGTTTGGGGGGGTTAGATGTGACTTTGTTTAATTGAAAGCTGGGGTAGGGAGCTTGAGGTTTGGTGTGGTTAAATGTGACTTTGTTTAATTGAAGGCTGGGGGAGGGAGTTCGAGGTTTGGGGTGGTTACATGTGACTGTTTAGTTGAAGGCTGGGGTAGGGAATTCGAGGTTTGGGGAGGTTAGATGTGACTTTGTTTAATTGAAAGCTGGGGTAGGGAGCTTGAGGTTTGGTGTGGTTAAATGTGACTTTGTTTAATTGAAGGCTGGGGAAGGGAGTTCGAGGTTTGGGGTGGTTACATGTGACTGTTTAGTTGAAGGCTGGGGTAGGGAATTCGAGGTTTGGGGTGGTTCAATGTGACTTTGTTTAATTGAAGGCTGGGGTTGTTTAATTGAAGGCTGGGGTAGGGAGTTCGAGGTTTGTGGTGGTTACATGTGACTGTTTAATTGAAGGCTGTGGTAGGGAGTTCGAGGTTTCGGGTGGTTACATGTGACTGTTTAATTGAAGGCTGTGGTAGGGAGTTCGAGGTTTCGGGTGGTAACATGTGCCTGTTTAATTGAAGGCTGGGGTAGGGAATTCGGGGTTTGGGGTGGTTAGATGTGACTTTGTTTAATTGAAAGCTGGGGTAGGGAGCTTGAGGTTTGGTGTGGTTAAATGTGACTTTGTTTAATTGAAGGTTGGGGTACGGAGTTCGAGGTTTGGGGTGGTTAGATGTGATTTTGTTTAATTGAAGGCTGGGGTAGGGAGCTCGAGGTTTGGGGTGGTTAAATGTGACTTTGTCTAATTGAAGGCTGGGGTAGGGAGTTCGAGGTTTGTGGTGGTTACATGTGACTGTTTAATTGAAGGCTGTGGTAGGGAGTTCGAGGTTTCGGGTGGTAACATGTGCCTGTTTAATTGAAGGCTGGGGTAGGGAATTCGAGGTTTTGGGTGGTTAAATGTGACTTTGTTTAATTGAAGGCTGGTGTAGGGAGTTCGAGGTTTGGGGTGGTTACATGTGACTTTGTTTAATTGAAGGCTGGGGTACGGAGTTCGAGGTTTGGGGTGGTTAGATGTGACTTTGTTTAATTGAAGGCTGGGGTACGGAGTTCGAGGTTTGGGGTGGTTAGATGTGATTTTGTTTAATTGAAGGCTGGGGTAGGGAGTTCGAGGATTGGGGTGGTTACATGTGACTGTTTAATTGAAGACTGGGGTAGGGAGTTCGAGGTTTGGGGTTGTTACATGTGACTTTGTTTAATTGAAGGCTGGGGTAGTGAGTTCGAGGTTTGGGGTGGTTACATGTGACTGTTTAGTTGAAGGCTGGGGTAGGGAATTCGAGGTTTGGGGGGGTTAGATGTGACTTTGTTTAATTGAAAGCTGGGGTAGGGAGCTTGAGGTTTGGTGTGGTTAAATGTGACTTTGTTTAATTGAAGGCTGGGGCAGGGAGTTCGAGGTTTGGGGTGGTTACATGTGACTTTGTTTAATTGAAGGCTGGGGTAGTGAGTTCGAGGTTTGGGGTGGTTACATGTGACTTTGTTTAATTGAAGGCTGGGGTACGGAGTTCGAGGTTTGGGGTGGTTAGATGTGACTTTGTTTAATTGAAGGCTGGGGTAGGCAGTTCGAGGTTTGGGGTGGTTACATGTGACTGTTTAATTAAAGGCTGGGGTAGGGAGTTCGAGGTTTGGGGTTGTTACATGTGACTTTGTTTAATTGAAGGCTGGGGTACGGAGTTCGAGGTTTGGGGTGGTTAGATGTGACTTTGTTTAATTGAAGGCTGGGGTAGGGAATTCGAGGTTTGGGGTGGTTAGATGTGACTTTGTTTAATTGAAAGCTGGGGTAGGGAGCTTGAGGTTTGGGGTGGTTAAATGTGACTTTGTTTAATTGAAGGCTGGGGTAGGGAGTTCGAGGTTTGGGGTGGTTACATGTGACTTTGTTTAATTGAAGGCTGGGGTAGGGAGCTCGAGGTTTGGGGTGGTTAAATGTGACTTTGTTTAATTGAAGGCTGGGGTAGGGAGTTCGAGGTTTGGGGTGGTTACATTTGACTGTTTAATTAAAGGCTGGGGTAGGGAGCTCGAGGTTTGGGGTGGTTAGATGTGATTTTGTTTAATTGAAGGCTGGGATAGGGAATTCGAGGTTTGGGGTGGTTAAATGTGACTTTGTTTAATTGAAGGCTGGGGGAGGGAGCTCGAGGTTCGGGGTGGTTACATGTGACTGTTTAATTGAAGGCTGGGGTAGGGAGCTCGAGGTTTGGGGTGGTTAAATGTGACTGTTTAATTGAAGGCT